ACCCCCGCGGGGGGGGTGGGTGTGGGGGTGGTTTGGGGGTATAGAAACCCCAAAAAATAAAATTTGGCGAGGTTGAAGAACCACTAGTGTAAGAACAAGAATCTTAACACCACGCTTATCCACTGCATTTGTGGAATGGTGAGACACTCAGCTGAGTCAGCCAGCAGGATCCCATCACAACCCTCCTTAATAATGAAATTCATGGGCTAACGGGACAGAAGGGGCACGTTTAAGTGCCCCCTTTACCCGCCATGGCGATTTCTGGCTCTGCTTAAAAGGCCGTGTCTTTTCCCTTGTCTTGCAGCTCTCATTGTACGCTTTCTCACCAAGAGATTTATTGGAGACTACGAAGCCAATACCGGTACGTCTCATTCCTGTCTTGCCGATTCTGATGGGAACAAACGGCGCTGTGTCTGCCTGGCTCCGGAGGGCTGGAAGGGCGAGTGGGCGGAGGGGTGGGCAGCTCGCAGAGCCCGCGAAGAGAAACGGAGCGAGTCAAGGGGCACGTGGGGGGTCCCTTTCTAGAGATCCAGAAACTGCACCTTTTCAAATCATGGCTTCTAGCAATGGCGGTAATAAATCAAAGCTGGGCTATTTACAGTCTTTCCCCTCTCCTGGGGAGGGGAGGTGTTTTTTTAAGCCAGCGTTGTCTCCATTGTGAGGGAGCAGAGAGATGACCTTCCCTAACACAGTTTTAATTAAAAAAAAAAGGATCAAACGATCCTTGCATGCATCGACTGAACAAACAGGGGCCACCTCTGTTCTGCTTTTCTCTTCTGCCAAATAATGGAACCAAATGCCCTGTTCAAAAGAGCAGCTTCAGACAGAGGCTTCTGTCTGCTTCTAGTGCTATGAAAAAGGGGGAGTCTGAGTTTTAAGGGAGGGGGGTTGTTGTCTGAATTGCCCACGCCCAACCTGTGTGTTCCTGTCCAGTTAAACAACAGCTCAGTCCTCTTAAAATAGAATATAAAGCTTCCCTAGCAGTAAGACAATTGCTTGTGAATGCTTGCAAATTCGACATAAGAATGAAGGTCAGTAAAACTGTTCAGAGTTGGAAAATAATGCAGGAATGCACCGCTCAGAAACGATTTGGAAGAAGGGTTTTGCAGCTCGCACAAGCACAGCACGTCTCTGCTGTACCTGGAAGAAGCCCTGTCCTGTTTCAGCCACGGTTACTTTAATGAATTGAGTTCTTTAAAGTAGCACTCACTTTTTTCAGGTGCCAACAAGCCTGAAAAAAGACATGGCTGCTTTAATGGGCAGGCCTGCTGCACCGCCTGAATAAATAATTGGGCTCTTCCAGAGCAAGAGATGTTTCGGTTGCAAAAGTCAACAGGTGAAGCTTTTCAGAGCGACCAGATCCCCTGAAAATTACAAGCAGCCTGTTCTCAAGGGAACAGGAGCCGGGAAAGAAAGGGGCGACTTCAGCCTGAAGAAATGTAGTCTCCTTACAAAGCCAGATGTTTGGGGGTAACTTGACCGCATAACTGCAAATGCTAGAGAGGGCAGCTTTGATCATCTGTTGGAACCGTTGTAATAAAAAGTCTTCTGGCACCCTAAAAACCCTCTCTTTTGCAGAATAATGTTCATGGCTAGAGCGTGTCAGGAGCATTAGCAGTTTTTAATGTGTTAATTTTAATTAGGGCTACCATATCTATGCTGCAGAAACCTAAATGACCACTGGATGGCAGCCAAAAGTTAGAGTTTTATGTCCATTTAATGCAGTGTTTCTCAACCTTGGCAGCTTGAGGATGGGTGGACTTCAACTCCCAGAATTCCCCAG